GTTTCAACCTGTTCGAACGCTGGGGTATTTGGGGAGTGGGGGGGGTGGGGGTCAGGAAACTGTTGCTGGGTCTGTTGGCCAACACTACACCCTGAGTCTCGTCTCCATCTGCCTCTGTGAGACACCCAGGAACTCCGTGGAGAAACAAGGACCATCAGCAGTGGATGATCAGGAGAAAGGAGAAGTGGCTGCAAGGAAGAGCTAAAATCTCCACTCTGAGGAACAGCACGGAAATGAAGAGTCACTGGCATCTGTTCACTTCACACACACACACACATAATGACGCATACATCTAAAGAGGTATTTGCGTACACACACGTGAGCACAAAGACAGATTTTTATTTCGCAACAACAGACTGTTACGACTCTCCAAAAACAGAGACGTTTCTCTGAAGGTCAGTCTGGGTCTCAATCGAGGGGTAGCGACCCCCCCACCCACCACACGTTTCCCCCAGTGCATTCTGGTCTTAACTACAAGATACAACAAGGAAAGTCAACAAAGTGCAGAGGGACAGGAGGACAGACCGGAGACGTTGGACCAGCCCTGACATGAAGGTCTGTCCGTCGTTTGTCCAGGACTGATTCAGACTGAAATTTGGTATTTTCATTTTTATGACATTATTATAGAAACTCAGTTTTTTTCTCTGCGGATCGTGACCCAAACACCTCTGTGCCTGCTGCCGATGTCGTTGATCCCACTCTGTGTTCATCCCACGAATCCATCGACGCACGCGCCTCAGATTGATGTTTGACAACAGTAAGTAGACCGCTAATAAAATTAGCATTTTAATTGTTCTCCATAACGTATAATCGCATCGTACACAATTACTGCGCAGGAGGAGTAAACGGCGGGAAAGATTAATGAGTGTAACGAGTGGCTGCTCCCTCGCGGAGGCGTTCTGCCTCAGCGGTGACGTGGAGCGGCACAGTCGGTGTTGGACGCGGCCTCCAACAGTCGCGGCAGAGTCTGGGCTCAGACCAGCCTGGACGTGAGCCTGGACGTGAGCCTGGCCGTGAGCCCGGGCGGGAGACTGGTGGCGACCGCGGGCCCCGCGTCTC